ATCATGGTAAAACCTGTCAACTCGAGAAGAGGCTGCCTAGATAGGCCGACACGTCGATGGGAAGTAGCAAAAGTGCAAAATGCCCCCTCGTCGTCAAACTGCACCTAAAACCCCTAATCGGGTTCTATTCAGTCCGACCTGCGGGGTCGGCTATTGGTACCAAAGCTGCCAGACACAATAAAAAAATCTGTTGCCATCGACCGACCCCACAAGTCATCGGGCGCTGTCCGACTTAGGGAGGAGGCAGTTTTCTTGTTCGCTGGTCTCACTCTCTTTATAGTTCCTGGTAACTTACAAGTCTTACTTGCTGGAATGTGGAAACTCTTGTGAAGTGCAAGAGAAGCCGTATTGCACAGCTTTACAAGGGTTTACAAGTTTCCACAGAAGGCACTGGCAATAAGAACATCAAAATGCCCCCACCGAGCCGAACGGTGCCACTCATTATATCGACATTCAAATATCTCTACGATTCTGAATGAGCTAGAACGCATGGCCCATCCCAAAGGTTTCAACTCTGAATAATTCGTATCTTTTTTTAATTATTTGCGGCATGGCAGAAACACCTCTCAGTTGAGCGAACAGTATGTTTGGACTAATCAATCAATCGATCGTTTAGGACAGTCCTTGTTTGAACACCTGAAAAGTTTGGATTAGTGCGACTCTTTGTTTACACTGTGTGAAGCTCCACCAATGCATATGCAATGCTATGTTCGAAGTGGAATGCAGTACTGTTCAGCTATTGAGGGGGTGGAATGCAGTACCAATTTGTAAAACTTGGGTTTTCCATGCAAACGTTTCAGCAGAGGCTATGATGACCTGCAGAAGAAAAGAGGAATGGGAAGGGGCAAAGTTGATTAGTCCAAATAGGCTGTCAGCTCAACTGAGATGTTCTCGAGAGTCACATACAGTGAAAAGCAGAAAAATTTGCATAATTTGGCGCTGATAAAACCCTTTTCGTTAGGCCATGCATACTGCCTCATTTAGAAACGTAGAGATATTTGAAGCATGCCAAGAGGGCTAAGATTCTAGGGCGGGGTATCACTCTCCTCTGTGAATGGCTCTTTTTTGAGTGAACAAACGAATTACTGCCGCTTTCTTTCGAGTCTCAGTCTGGAAAGAGAACTGGTTCTGAACTCGGGCTAGAATATGAGTCTTTCATCCATAATGCGGCCAATTACGATTCTGTTAAGAAAGCTGTTCACATTTTATTGTTGATGCGATAATGGACGTCTGACATAAGAACTTGCTGAGCTCCAGAATCACAGCGAGTCCGCATCGCACTCTCAGAGGGAATAGAAGGGCAGGGTTTTGGTTCCCTTATAGGTAACCAGATGTAACCTAGGGCTTACAGCTGGATCAGCCAGCACCTGTGGGAGTCGTCACATGCGGTAGTCATGGCTTCTTTCATTATGAAGAAGAAGTTCATGAAGGTTTTCATCACTCGTTTTATCCCTTTCTGAGCTGACCCGTTCTCCAGGGCCCTTCGGAACTGTGTGCTGTTGCTGTAGGGGATTTCTGTGAGAAGGTGGTCAAAAAATGCCTTCGTAGACCCTCAGACCCCTCTGAGGCTACGAAATCGTATGAGGAATCCGCTCCGGCTACATCATGTCTTCACAAAGTGGCCTGAACTAGCCTCGCTAGCTACCTTTTGATGCTCCCACCAGCCAAATTGCGCCCATAGTCGGTCAGAGATCTCCCATTATATCGTGGTTCACTTTATAGGTGCAACTCGCCTCTTTATTGAGAGAACATTTGGGTTTGGAGAGTCCGGACGAGAGGATCGCTCCTCATTTAGCGCTAATATAGGCCATAGTGTACGATATCCACTTTGACGAGGCAGTGATACCATTCACCGGGGTAGAAAACTTGGAACACCTTCTTTGAAAATATCGGAAGCAAAAGAGGGTAGGAAGTGGCTTAGGCCAATAAGTATTGCTCCCGCAGGAATGCGGAGTCACGGGAAACCTCAAAGTACAGTCATGTTCCTTGCAGTTGATAGGGCGTGTAACGGGATGTGGATTGGAACGCTGCCAAGGGCCGCTCTTTTCACCAGTGGTGCTATCCTGAGTACGCAGCAATTAAGCGGGAAGGGCTGTTTTGGCTACGATCCAACTCACGCCTCTTCACACGGCTTTTCATTCGCAGAGACTATAGGTGGCAGGATGTGGCACCGTTTGAGCAATACACACTTTTCCGGGCGTGAGACCTGGCTTCGGTTCGGGTTCCGTCGACAGCAAAGCGTTTTGGCCATGGATCGAATTCTCGTGATGGCCTTCGCATCGCGAACAACTGCAGTTTCTAAACAAAACATATAGAAAAACAGGATAGGCTCAGAACTAGTAAGAACTACAGTACGGATGTACGATAGTACAAAAGCGTAGTGTTTATCCGCTGCGTTGTATTTCCTATCTATTTTTCAACTTTCTATTGTTACGCTATACCGTGGACAATGACGCTCCACCCTGTGTGATGTTGCTATTGTCATCTTTCGTTGAGGTTTGGGAATTCATGGGATTTACGAGATAGCGGCGGATCGCCGACAACAAGGGGATCGTAAACGATTCGACCTTTGGATAATCCCCAGATCATTTATGGAAATAGCTCAAGTTCTCACGGTTAATAGCTATAAATTATCCCGGTATACAAAATGCGTGATAGCATGTTGGATGGTCTTGCAATCAATATTCATAAGAGACGTGCTTCTGACAATAGAATGCTGTTCGATAATGCTGATTTGTTTAACGTGGATCGACCGCTTTTGGGGACGAGTTCGACTTCCGGCTCCTGGAATTAATTGAATTATCTAATAAAGGGGATATTCGACCCTTACAACCACCGACGAAACCAGTTTTCATCCAATTTGTTCCTTTATGCTCTGACACGAAATTGCTGGCAGTGGGTGGAGCCCGAAGGGATTGAGTTGGGCACTTGAAGGCTAGTCCACTTCTTTGACTTCCCCTCGAAATCTTATTAGACTTCGGACTAGCCACTAATTATTCTTAGGTAATCATTGAAATTGATCGTCAAATCCACATTGAATGAGTGTTCCTAAATAACCGGTTGGGCGGAGGAGTAAGCGGCAAAAGGCGCTGCTGCTGTTCCTATATTTCGGGTATATCTGGTTGAATTTCGCCCAAGTCAATCAAGGGCTTATTCCTCGATGACCGGGTGGTTGGTGACTCGCAACTGTTGCGTCCTTTCATTTCGCGCCCCTCTTGGTAAAGAAGGACAGCACCAATGAGAGAGGCGCTATGGTTGTTAGTCTCCGCCTTCACAGTCATCGTTGAATGTGCCCTTGGATCACCTGAGCAAGACTCTATCTATGACTTGATGCTCTAACTATGTGTACCGTAGCGACGTCTTCCACTACTGAATAATTTTGGCAGATTTGGATGTTTGCCTCCTGAAAATTTCGATGATTAAGCTACTTTCAGAGCCAGCTTTGCGCAATCCAGCCAATATCTCCTTAAACTCTCCGAGCACATACTCGTCCAGCTCATCATCCAACCTTGGACCAAGTCAGAATGGCGGCATCATCAAAACAGCAACAGGTGATACTTCACTATTTAGCTACAGATTTGTCCTAATATTGTTTCTTTATCACTTGACATTCGTTTCGTACTTTAATTGGGTTCTTTTAGGCGAGCGTCAAAGGAAATATCCTGCACTAATTCTAACTGAAGAGGAAAAGCGATTGTGCAAGAAGGAGTCGATTCTTCTACCTGAGTTCTATCCGCTCACAAAGGCAGAAGAGCGCGATCTAAAGAGAATTCGGCGAAAGATTCGCAACAAAAGGAGCGCCCAGACGAGCAGAAAACGCAAACAGGTACTGAGTGGCAACTGGGAATCATAAAATCGGGCCAAGGATCAGGGTTGAGGTGCCGGGGCTGTGAAACTGCGTTTTCTTGCGAGCAATGTGGGAAATCAGTGCCAGAGTTGAATGAGATTAATGTCGCCAAGCGCAATCTGAAGACAGTAGGTTTCTGGCGCAGATATTATCTGCCTGCAGTGCTCGAGCAGCTCCTTCTAGGACCTTATCCATCACCTGTGATGAATAATGAACTGCCCTGTAGAACATATAATTTTTATATAATTTTTCCCCAAGTAGTGAACTCCCAGGCAAATAGTGGTGATGGACATGGCCCTGGTCATGATTGGGACAAGAATGTATAGCGCAGAGGCCTCAAGGTTTAAGTATTTTGTGTATCCCCGGCCCAAATTTCGTGGCCGTACTGTAGCACTGAACCTTGTTTTTCCTCCAATTTTTCCATATATATATAATGCGATTCATGGCTGGACCATAGACCGTGGGACTGCCAATGCGGATTGATGTTTAGGAGGTTGAAATGTCCAGAACAGTTCAGCTGGTCAGATCGAGGATAGTTGTGGGGGGGGGGATGGGCACTTTATGGTATACAGTACTGATATGGGGATTCTTGTTCCAAAAGTGCTGTCTGCGCTGATGATACAGGCGGAATCGGACCTACCATTTCCCATTCCAAACGCGCCTTCTCTCTGCCGTCTCAAAGAGGAGGGCGTCGCCATCGATGAATAGGGTGGGAGGCCCAGCTCCGCCCATAGCACGAACGTGGAATATGAGTTGTAACGATCTAATCTTCGGAAGATGCTTTTCTATTTTTCATCTGCGGGGCATGATAAAGGCATCCATCAAGCTCATGGATGCCAACTTGGTAGGGTCACCTGACAATACTGGATAAAAAACACCAATACTTGTTAGTCTTTCCATCGACCATATGCCATCTGACGGGCTCAAGGCAAAGTGATGGTAGTGGCTTTTCGAAATGAGACGACAGGGGGGGGGGGCCAAAAAAAAAAGTCATTTCGGCCGAGCCACATATCAACGAAGTTTCGCAGCCCAGACAGGGGAAGTGGATATGAGTACCAGAGAGTTGAGAAGATACCCAACTCTCATCTATTAAGCCTGGAGCACGCTTGCCGCCAATCGCCTTCATGTACGCCAAAATATGAAGTCATCTCCAGTCGCGGCCTGACTGGAGAACACCTTTGGAATTCACGTCGCCTCCAAACAGCTGCGAAACTTCTTGAATGAAGTCATCCACAGATAGCTACCTGGAGGTCAGTACTCTTGACCTGCAAGACCTCCCACATCGACCAGCTACGGCAACGTCGCTACGGTCTAGGACATCATCTTCACCGTATTCGCCGAGGCGCGAGCGAGTTGATGGTATGGACCGGGGTACCTGGAAAGGGGAAGACCGATATTTTCTTTGTAGACCCCGACTGAAGGTGAGCGCTGGCGGTTACATCAAGTAACTCGAGAATATCCTCCCTACATGTGGTCGCCCGTACCTTCTTGGAGACCTTGTGCTGCTACAGGTTTGGGTGCCACCACATGGAATCAAAGGGTTTTGGAAAAACTCCCGCCTACTTGGAATGGAAGGGGGCTGAATACCTAAAGAAGGTAGAATATCCAAGTAGGTCACCTGACCTGTATCCTCTCAATTACCCGTCAGGCGGAAGTATCAATGCGTGGTGGTCTACGTGGCGGAGAAATCAACGATCTCGCTCAACTCCGGTACCCACTCACTTTCGCGCGGCCGAATCTCTCGATGGCGCTCCTCCAGAAGGCTGTGGCGGAGTATCATTATAGTATTTAATGTGCTCTTTAATATGGTAGTAAAAATGTCCGATAAAAATTTAATAAAGTGTAACTTATAGCGCCTTGAAAGTCATGGAGGCAAAATGACTTTTTTTTGCCCCCCCCCCCTGTATACTGCCCGATGTGGCCCTTGGACGCTGATTACAAATCTGCCCTCCATATCTGCTAAACGATTCCTGGACAAAGTTATGCAGGATTTTTGACCAGGCACACCCATTTCAGCATGTATCGAGGTGCTCCAAATTGCCCAAATTGGCTGGAATCTGAAACTAGAGGTGCTTCAGTGCCCTGGAAATCAACACTGCAGTTATATTTCGTGAAAACGTCTTGTCTCGCATTTCTTGCGAGGGCGGACACGCCGTCCGTTGTGCACGAAGCCTGGCAACTTCCTTGGCAAAAGCGCGTTTACGGCGCCGAACGAGTGCTTTGATTATCTCGTCTCTGGGCCTTCCAAATTAGCCCCTAGAGACAAGTTTTCAACCAAATTTGAGATTTCGACCTATTTTCGATACAGTGGGGTAACCATAGGCAGCCAATTCCTAAAGGTTGCTGGCACTATCGCCGATTCAAATCTCTGTGGTCCTGAGCAGTCGGATAGGTACCTCCTGAATCTTAGTACTTGCTTGGTCTATGGACGGCTCCTGCGATAACCGAACCACGACACCCAGCTTATGGCTTCCATGCCCATCTGCATTCAGTTTTGGGCCTCACAGATACGACGCGAAACGAATAATGCCGCCGACAATCAAAATAGGAGTTATCCCACATGAGTGTTTCCACAATGGCTCTATCCATCAACAGAAATAAAATTTTTTTTTGCCAAAATTAGGTTCTCCTAGCCGTCGCAGTAAGGTGCTTCAGGAGTGTGCAGGAGGCATCTTGTGAGGAAAATCCCAAAAACAGTCGAACCATGGAGGGATTCCGAACCTCTCACACTTGACCATGGCCACACTATCCACTGCGGCCACCGATGCACTTCGTGTAACGACTCACGTCTCATTTGTGTTACCAAGCTCAGTTGTGCTCCGTACAACAACCTCCTGCATATCTCTGCTCAGAGAATCGTTTAGCAGATATGGAAAGCAGATTTGAAATCAGCGTCCGAAGACGCATCAGTGTGTATGCATCTTGTCTTAAATGGCCATTTCAGACCTCCATCCTTTCCTTTTCAGCTGTCCCTATTAGGGAATTTTGTTTCTCTTTTTCAAATTGCTCCTGTTGGGGACTTCCCCATAAGACTTGACTTTCGCTGACAAAATCTTTCGCTACCACCCATGTGGGTGTAGTGTAACAGTTTGTGCACGTTGCCAAGTGTGTTGTTGTGTGCAAAACCCGATACTTTACATATTACTTATTGCTGTTACTACTTGTCGAATTGTCCGAACGTATTCTTGGCCGCAGTGTTGTCCGCAAATGAGTGCTGCCGCTTCCGGGTAATCGTTGCTCTGTGGATCGTGACGGGAGGTGTCGAGTCGGAGTACTGTTTGATCGGCACCGCTCGCGCATTTTTTCGTCGGCTCGCCTATTTCTTTTCGGAGCGCTTCCCGCTAGGTTGGTGATCAATGGACGGGAACGGTCAAATGGCCGGAGATGAATTGGACGCCGATATGAGAGATTTATTGAAGGTAACGGGGAGACGCGAACTTCAAGGTTACCCTCCGATAGTCGCGCGATGTATTGTCGCTGTCGCAAGAGACATCCACGGTCACAAACTATCTATGAGAGCGATCCAAACCATCATCGGCAATCGCTCGTCGCCGCTATGTCTTTAGTTCAACGGGGAAAACTAGTTCGCGAAAACTCTATCGCAATCCAATACACTCAGGTGACTGCGTCCGGAGGACAGCGTCCCATCACAGATTTGACCTAAATTGTTTCCAATCATGTGGTTGCGACCAGGTGACTTGAAGTTTTTTGTAAAACTGTCGTCTCTGGCCTCTTGGAAGGGGAAGAACTCGATGAGAGGGATTTCTCCTTGGCCATTGTACAATGAACGACGCTCCGTGGATGAGGGGATAAGGTGGTAAAGACGGGCTCAACCGCAGGTGAGGGCTTTTAAGGTGCGGGGGATCGATGGATAATCGAGATGAACAATCGGGTTTTGTCCTTCAGTGGATGAATAATCGAGTTTTATCCTTGGAGCGGCGGAGTGGCGCGCACTGGCTCTTGAAAATAGATAAATTATGAGGATCCATTAGAACAGGACTCTTGAACTTTACACAAGCTATTCGTGGTACAGGGCAGCGGCAAAACGCACTGCTACTGTACCCAGGGCTGATCATGGGCCGAATAAGATCCCCTTACCATATTTTCCTCTTCGGTATGCATCACCACCGCAAGTGCCGCTAAAATCTTGTGAAAGAAGGAGGAGGTTGGGAGGATCAATAAATCAACTATCAGAAACAGCGGAGTTCCCACGCCGCTGGCTGAAGGAGGGGACGGGAGGGTGGGGGGCGGATGGGAGCATAAGCCGCACCTGGAAAGAGGAAGAACCAGCAGTCAAAAATTTGAAGCCAAATTCGACCCCCATCCTTCAGCGACGACCGAACATGACCCATCTCCGATCAGAATTCCCAACGGTTATTGCCCTGGCAGTACTTATAGTTCGTGTTTCCAGACAAAGTAGAACATAAAATATACGCGTTTAAT